CACTCCCTCTCCTGCCGGCTGCGGGAGGCGGGGTCTGCACATCCAAAGCCAAGGGCTCAGAAGGCCGCACTCGGAAAGCTAAAAGTGACTGCAGAGGCCGTCGGGCGCAGCCTGCCTTTCCGCAGGCTCTCGGTGGTCCCAAAGGCCAGGCGGGGGACTTCGGTCTGTACACGGCAGTTAGCCCTCTACCTTTGCTTGCACCATGTGCGTAGACTCAGCGGTCCCGGATGCGTTTGAGATGTTGTTTGAAAATAGGACCCTCAGGCCTTGGACCACACTTACTCTTTAACACCCGGAGCCGCACCCTCCACCCGGAGGCCAAAGGGAGCCCAGTTCCCATCTCTGCTTCCTGCACAGAGTCCTCCTTCCGCCGCCTCTCCCTCCATCCCACCATCCTTCTTGGCTGCCTGCCTGCCTTCTTCCTCTCTCCCCCCCACCCCCTACCCCCACCCCCACCCCCAACCCCAGAGGGGATATGGGGTCGGAATGCAAACCACAGCAAGATGTGGACTGGAAACTCGAGGCGCAGGGCGCTGCACCAAGCTGTCTCCCGACCCCCACGCCGTCTCAGCTGCCTGCGCGCAGCCGCACCTCCTGACGTCTCCTTACACTCCAGGCACAGCTGTTCCTAGCGGAATTCCAGGTCCCATGAAGAACAGCAGCTGTGCCAAAGGCGACAAGGCGGAGGAGTGACAAGAACTGAATATTCATCTTCAGTTTCTACTCCGCCCTCAGAGCAGGAGCCAAACTGCCCTTCCCGGCTCGGGACAAACTGAGAAACAATTAACGCTTCATGGAAACAGTTCTCACTGAGCCCTCAGCCTCCAGCACAAAGAGGCACCTCTGACTGCATTATTCAGTGAGTGGGGAGCTCTGAGAAAGGCTTTTCGCAGCTGACAGCTTTAAGGCTACACCAGCTTCCATAAGGAGAATACAGCTTGTAAGCATCAGTTTAAAATGCCGTATTTCTTGTTTGATTTTTTAAAAAATTGGTTTTAAGAGAGTGTTCATCAGAAAGGAGTAGATAATTGAAATTGGGTTTTAAAAAGCAATTTTCTTTCTACCCTAAAATTAATAATTTTAGACATAGACATAAATGGCAATAACTTGCAGACCTAGGACCACTCTCTACCTGCTAAATGAAAACCTTTTGGAGATTTTAATTCAGAGTTATTTGCAAATACCTCACGGCTTTCACACCATTGATCATTTGCATTCATTATAGGAAGTTGTGCTTTTACATATAAATCCTAAGCAGCTTTTACCGTAAAGATGTGCGAAAATATATGTTGGACTAGATTCGAGCATATTTATTTTTCTTTTCCTGGAGGGGAGAGGCTCTGTTCTTATCATTCACATCAACTTAATTTATAAGTTGGTTCATTTGCAAGCGGGTTGCAAATCAACAGAGGTTTGGATTTAGAAATTCTCTCTGAAGATAGATTTTTCTTCAAAATGCAAAGGGAAAAAAAAAGGATTTGCCTGAGCTGATCTTCATTTGCTGGAGGTTTTGTGGTGGTGGTTGTTTGCTGTCAGGTATTTCTACTTTTCAGGCTTTTAACACAACTTCCTGCTCACCTTCTTGCTTAACAAATGGCAACAGCTGGATGGACCCAGTGGCCTTCTTCCCCACTGCGTGCTCAGCGACTTGCATCGGTCCTGGTGCTCTTTGGATCAAACTGTCTTTTGCCCTCCTCGGGAGCGATGTGGGACACGTCTCCCCTACAGCCTTCTGATTTTCACAGCAAGGCTTTCCTTGGCTGAGGACAAGGTCCTCCTCCCACAGTGTGTAGCAAATCTGATGCAAAAGTGAGCTGAGCAGGTAAGCTGGGGACACCAGGCGTCAGGGAAGGGCCACACCTCTAAGAAACACAAACCTTGATTCTTAATCTGATAAGGACAAAGAATTGTCTTTTCTCCATGTTTTTCCCTCCAGAAAACTTTACATCAAACTCTCAAACTGAAAAGGTGATCTCATTTTCTTTGCACCTCCCTCCCCTTTCTTCCTTCCGTCTTCGTTGTCTTCAGGGGAAAAACTCTGTGATTTTCTAACTCTTTAAGAAACTAGTAGAAACGCTCTGTAATCTTGGGTCCCGGGAAGGTGACTCGCAGCACTCCCTGCTTGTGCTTGGGGTCTTCCCTTCTCGAGAGCTCTCACTTGGCTAACGATACCAAGGGGCGGCCAAGTTGCTCCGGAGCCGAGCAATCGGACAGATTCAGTTTGATGTTGCCTTTGAATTCGTATCCTCGCACACAGACCACCCCTCGCGCACTCGCCTGGCCCTGTGCGCCTCCAGGGCACTCCCGGACGCCGAGGCAGAACAGTGCTGTCCAGGAGTCCGGAGGTCATCTGGTTTAGCTTGTGACCTTTACATTTGAGACACCGAGACCCAGAGAGGTTAAGTGACTTGCACCAGGTCTCAGAGCAGGAATGCGACATAAAGCCAGAGCCCCTGGTGCAGCTCACGGCCTTCTACCCCCAAACACGCTCATCCGCAGGCAATTTACATGCCTCATCGCCAAGCTTTTCTCCTCTGTTTCCGTGCCAACACCCATTTTCTCTTTCTTACAATTCGCTTCCTAGCATGTGAGACTCACACCCCACGGAGCTCTTTGACCCTTTTCGCACACTTCTTGGAGCGAAGCTATTCTAGTGTGGAGCCAGGGTTGGGGCCAAAAATTCATAAATAAATGGGTCACTGGCTACCAGCACACTCTCCACCTTTCTTTTCCCTCCCGCTTCCCTCCTGTTAGTAAAGAACTCAGCCTAGGCTAATGTGCTCCTTGCACATTATACCGACACTGCAGACATTCCTTAGACCAGCCAGACCGCGTCTCAGGTTAGAGGGTGGCCCTGCACACAGAGGAAGCCACAGGCAGACTCCGCTGAGGTTGAAATGAAATAAGTGCATTTCAGAACATTAACTGTTTAACAACATCTGTTTAGTCGCAGGGTTGACAAATTACCAGGAAACTCTTTAGGAAACAGCTACCCAGCCATCATCCTCCACCCATTCATTCACCTGTCTACCCACTGGTCTGTCTAATTTTCCTGCTTCAAGAAAAGATCTGAGCAGCAGACCCTAAGGAGGCACCAAGGTGCTCTGTTACTGATGGAATAGTCTTACTGATGAGCTGACCAAGCAAGACGGCAAAACGCAGAAATAGCCATCTGACAGTAACATTCGTTTTATAAAACTTAGTACTACATAAGCAGCATGTTATTAAGTAATGGACAACATTTCTTCCCTATGACCTTCTTTTTAAAAATATTAAGGTAATCTATCATTTCCTTTTAATCTCACTCTGTTTTTAATGTCAAAAGGAAATGGTAGAGATTACCCTAATATTCAAATATATGTATAAGTTTATATATAAAATATATGTAATATTTATTAAAGAGAGAGAGGGTTATAGCTCTTTTTTTTCAAATTTTTGGAAATTATCAGACAAGCAGGAAAGCTTCACTTGACTCTATTCTCATATTGACCAAGTGTAGAATCATAAGAATTTTTTTTCCTACTCAGAGGACAGCTTGAAGGCAAAAAAGAGTTGTCTTTCTATAAATTACCCATGATGAGTGGTGACCAAGGAGAAAACAGGCATTGTTCACAAGCCCAGGCGTCCAGCAGCGGCATTAACAGGGAGCCCCGTGGCCTGCGTCAGCAGGGGGCACTGTGTGGTCCTTGGGTTGTGACAACAGCAGCCAGCCCTGGTCCCCCAGACGCACAAAGCGGACCGCAAGCCCTTACCTTGCAGGGCCTGTAGGCTGTGCGTCTGCACGATGATGCAGAGCTGCAGGACCAGCTGCGGGGCGCTCTCCAAGAAGGTGGCGAGCAGGTGCAGCATGCTCACGTCCGCGTACTCGTAGACCATCTTCCAGTAGAATCTCCATCGATCGTTCTCCCCGCTCTGCCGACTTCGGATGCCTAAGTATATGGTGTGGAAATATCTAGGAAGAAGACATGGAGAACGGGAAACACATGAGTGATAACTGATCCCTCAAACACTGGGCTGTTCTCTTTCCTGCCAGCCACCACGTACACACAAGCACACGCAAGACACGACTGCCTTAGTGGCTTATAACTTGAGGCTCAAAGTCAGCCCTTATTCTTAAATGTTCACTTTGAGGAGTCACTGCGATTGTGGTCCCCCTTAAAGGCGTTCCATTGCACTGCAAGATGAAGACCGAGGTGAGACTCAAGTGCGGGAGGGACTTGCTATGTTGACAATCTACATACACCTTTCTTGTCAGGTCCTCTGTGTGCTCAGCGCTGCTCAGGAGACGGGTGTCCCCAGGGCGGGATGCAAGTCTGACATTCTGGACTTATAAACCCTCCTGATGGCTTTTTAAAAATTTTCATTATTGAAAACGTCAACCTATACCAAAGAAGGAAAAATAGCATATTGAATCCATAATACCCTTCGCCTGGATTAAGTAATTACCAATATATTGAAAATATTTTTTCATTTATACCTCCACCTACTCCCTGCCACCAGGCTATTTTGAAGAAAAACCCCGGAATTATTTTTCACCTGTAAGTGTTTTATTAAAAACAATTTACAAACATAAATGAAATACCCTTATTACACTTACAATTAAGTGTGATTTCTTATTATCAAATATTCAGTACTCATATTTTCCTGATTATCATAATTTTTTTTTACAGTTTGTTTGAAATACAGTCCAAACAAGGTCTACACATGGTGGTGATTTGACGTGTGCCTTAGTCTCTGTCGCAGCATGGAGGCCTCTCCAATTTCTTTCCTATTTCCTGCGTACTTTGCATTGTCTTGCTTTTGATGGCTGTACTTGCATGGAGTGGTTACCGTATCAGTCCTTTGTGTCTTCTTCAATTGGGTAGTTAGGGTTAGAATTTTGATCAGATTCAAGTTTAATCATTATTAGCAATCATTCACGGCAAAAAGCAGGTTAAAACAGCATATGTGAAGTTCCCAATTAATAACTTAAACTATTGTGTGTGCGTGTGTGTGTCTGCGTACAGAATAAAGATTAACTACAAAATAATGTGGTGATTCTCTGAGTGGGACTGCAGATTATGGATTTATTATTTTTGAAACTCATAAGCAAAGTGTGATGGACTTCCTATAGCTAAACTTTAACTGCTGAGATGGCTTTAATATTTTAAAGCTTTTGGTATATATCATAAAATTATTCTCTAGAAAGACTGTACCAATGGGCAGTGTAGGAGTGTGTTTGTTTTCTTAAATCTTTGTGTATTATCATTGAAAGAAAAATCTTGTTAATTTTATGGGTGAAAAATAATGTTTCAATCAGTGACTCTCTTATTACTACTGAGGTTTTAGATTTGTAAATGCCTATTGGTCACTTATTTATTACTCTGTGATTTGCCCGAAGGTCATTTTCAACTGTAACACGTTCATGTTTAAGGACTTGAGTCTCACATTTAACTCCTTACATGGGCCACAGTAACCACACCACTGACACGTTCCACCACACACCTGGTCCTGTGATAGCACAGCTTGGAGCCATGGAGCGCTGTAGCTAGAGGGGGATTTATGGATCAGGGGTCCGAGTTCACACAGCTGAAAAGTGGCAGCTGGACCCAGACCCCAGACATTCTGCTGCCGAGTCTCGTGGTCTCATCACCCTGTCCAGTTCTAACTATCCTGCGATTTACCACATGCAGAAACATACTCACAGACAGAATTCACTGTATTTCTTCTGTCTTCTACATGTTTTTGTTTGTTTGTTTTTAGCTAAGAGACAGTAGATGTCTAGGTGTAGAGGTTAAGAATTTTAGTTCTGGAGACAGAACAGAATTCCAGTTTGACTCAAGGGATTCTGAGTTTATTTTACGTTTATTTTCTGAGCCCTAGCTTTAACCTTGTGTAAAAGAAAAGGTGATGAAATAATTAAAAATAAGATTAAATGATGTACATAAATTACCAGGCAAGCAGTCATTCAACATTAGAAATTATTAGCAATGAGTTGTTTTAATTTTTTAAGGAGTCAAGTGGGGAGTAAGAATGTGGCCCTCAACGGGATTTCCTTTTCAGCTGCCTGGGACTCAAGGCATCTCAAGACTCAGGCATATGTGAGGGGCACCTTATTTCAGAGAACTCAAAGGCTACGGATCTTACCTATCATCTGTCTATCCATTCATCCACACACTCAGCCATTCATCTATTTTTGTTAGTCTTTCCAAAGAGAAAACAAAATAAGCAATGAGATTACTCCGCTGCTTGAAGAAAATCTCCTGGTAATCATCACCCATGTGAGAATATTAAGTACCATATGTTAATTTTGCAAGTGAGAATGAACTGGGCAATCCTGCAGGCCAGTGCCATTTCCTGTTGGATGTGAAAGATGCTGTCTCTGAAAGGCCATCACATTTCATTCTGACAAACCTGTGTTTCTTCTTTCACAGCACGAAAAAGAAGCCAACTTATCCCATGAAGAGAAAAGACAAGAAGGTACGGATACTGCAAAGAAAGTAAAGTGACACGGCCCTTTATCTAATTAGCGCTCTGCTTCTTGCTCCTTGGGTCACGGTGGGCTCACTCCTCATGCGGTGACGAGTCCTCCAAACTGGGTCCATGCAGACATTGCTGAAGAGGCACAGGGGAGCACGGGAGTTCATGGCAATGAAAAGATACTCATAGATGGCAGGGAGGATTCATAGAAAGCCATATTTACAGCTAAAATTTTAGCCATTACCAAAGGGTATCACTTAAGAAGGCCAAAAGTTTTAAGTCTTTGCCGTTGAAGATGAAGTCCGCAGTGAGAACAAGAGGGCAGGGGCTTAAACACACAGCTCCCCTCCGTGCTGTGGGAGATGTTCCGACGAAGCCCGCTCTGCAGTGTCAGCGTGTCCGCCTCCTCCTCTGAGCTGAATGCATTCAGAAGACATTTGCCATCTTTACTGAATGACTGATTCACTTTCTGACAGGGTCATTCTTATTATTTACTGTCTTGTGGGGCAATGCTAATGGAAGATAGAGTTCTTCTTAAATCACAAAAGGTCACCAGGAATTCTGCACCAACTTTACCAACATAGTCTTGATCTTGACCCAACAATATCTCAATTTCGTAACAGCCTCAGCGTTGCTGAAGAGGCGGGCACAAACGCACCTACGTGACTCCCTGTCGTGCCTCGTGCGCAGACGCCTGCATGTAACTCCACGCCCTCCGCAGAAAGTCTAGTTCAGTGATTTTCCTGAAGATTTAAATTGCATTCAAATTGTCAGCCTCTTTTCATCAGTGTTTTCCGGGTGCAAAGAGCAACCTGGACTCAGGTCACAGCCTCTCACATTACCAACTTCAGACCTGCACGTAACACAGCGAAAGCAGTAAGCTTGGGAGGAAGAGCCTAACCGTTCAGCATGTCAGGCATTGCACAGCTAGTGTGCGTGTGAGCCACAATTTAACGTGACTGAGATCATCTTCACATCACCTGCGGGGAAGCGAGGTGTGTGTAGCTCCTGTTGCAGAGGGCCCGCGCTCACAACAACACTTCAGTCCTTGTTGTTCGATCAGATGTGAACTACTGGTACATCAGTAGCTGAATCAGAAATCATTAGTAGCTGTGAGGATGCTGTGCATGTATATTCTAATGCTGAATTTTCTCTGTCTTACAGCACATTAAACAGTTTAGCTGTTAACAGCTTTATTTTTACTAGCTGAAAAATGCAGAGTAAAATCTGTGCAGAACTTTAAAGAAATACATTAATAAACAGTGACTTCAGCAACTGCTGTTCTCTTCTGTTGGCGGGCTACAAGCAAAGCGTCACACTATTGTATGTGTGTGTACACTCACGGGATACACATATCACACTACACACGGCTGTCTGTCTGTCTGTGTCTGTGTATCTATGTATCTAATCTCCTCAACAACAGGCGCTGATAAGGAACAAAATTGTGTGCTTTGTCACCTTAAATGTTCTGTATGGAGTATGTTGAACAATGGCCACAACCACAGAACCTTGTTTTAACACCAAAACATCACGTTTCTGTTGTCTCCATTTATGCCAGTGATAGTAAAAACGACTAATATTCTGGCCTATATTTCAACAGTGGAAACTTTTCCTCGTGGCTATTGTTTTAAAGTTAGATTCTATTTCCCATTAATTGTCTCACAGGGGAAGACGTGCCTTAGTAGGGGAAGAATGGTTGGGTAACCTTACGATTGACACAAGCATCAGGGGTCACAGGTATGAGGCCAGCCTGAGCCACCCTCACCCGAGGGGCCCGGAGCGAGCTGTCACTGTGCTGCAGGGCCAGCCCCTCGCACGGCCCCACGCTCGGCGGTCACCGCGCCCTGGGTGTGGGTGACCCCGCTCACCGCCAGCCCCTGAGCCCTCCAGCGTGCGCGGGCGCGGTGCGTGTCTCCTGTGCTGGTCACAGGTGTTCGCGACAAGGAAAGAGAGGTGGTGAACATACTCGGGGTCTCCCTAGAAATCCTCGAATGGGACAAGAATCTCCACACCTTTTGCTCATTCATCATACTTTTATTTTTCTCCCCAAGCACAACCCTGCCTCTCAAACTAATGAGGCTTCAGCTTTCTCTGCATGTATCTGACCCATGAGCTGTGCTTTCCTCACCTCTCTCTCCTGCTCGGATAATTAGAATTAATTTGGGTCCTCAGAGGAGAATGGGCCTCCAGTGCTATTAAGATATTAAGAGCTTCATATCACGGTATAGGGCCTTCTCGCGTACGTGGGCTTACACAACGGAGAGGCTTACTCAGTTGGCATCCTGTAGTTAATAAAAAGGCTCTCTAATCGATTTTATTTTTATTCATCTCTGAAAATAAAATTTACCTATGGGATATGGTTGTTTTTAGTTTTCATGCATATGTCTCATAAAGACACTTGTTACACAAACAGGGCCTTATGGATTTCCTCCAACCTAGAGCAGGAAATAATAGGATTTCTTTCTCCACCAAATAATTTTCCTTGTAATGGAC